CTATAATACAGTGACAGTGTGACTGTGGCTATAATACAGTGACAGTGTGACTGTGGCTATAATACAGTGACAGTGTGACTGTGACTATAATACAGTGACAATTTGACTGTGGCTATAAGTTTTTACGTTTAGGTCAGTTTTGGACAGCTAGGATCATGTACCATCACATACTCCTTACCTATGTACTTGATGAGCACTGTATGATGAAGGACATTTCTGTGACCTTCAAAGTCACCATTACTATTTGTAAAAATTGATCAACCAATTCTCTGTCATTTCGTGATTGCCTTTGTTTTAGATAATTTTTATAAAAACTTGATGCAAAAGTCAGTTATGAGAATACCTCTGATGAGCTCGTGTTTCAGAGCACCAAGATCAAAGTCACTTTTATTAATGTCCATAGGAAATTATCAATCATTGAAATATATTTCACAAAGCTGTGGAGGCATACATGTATTTCAGCCATTTTGTAGTTTCCTAACCTGTTGGTTCAATCTGGCAATCACTGGAGATATCAGCTTCACACATTATAATAACTGATTAATGACTAAATATTACAAAACATGACCACATGGAATACTATTAGTAGTACAAGCACGATATATCATAGTGTGGCAGGTGTTAATTGTACATAGGATTAAGGTTGCCTTCTAGCTTCGAGCTAGAGGTAATTTCCCTTTACCTCAGTGGTAGAGTGTCCGACTAGGAACCTGGAGATCGAGGGTTTAATCCTCGGTGGAAGCACACTACTCTCTTTCCCGTTACAATAGCAATCAGCTTTATATAACTTAATTAACACATACAAGTTACTAATTATGTTATCTTACTCTGTAACATACCTACACACGCCTTAGCAGTGAACTACATACGCGTAAACATGATACGCATGAGTGACGCACACCCATACCTAGCCTACCTATACAATGCATGGACATTATAAATGATATAATAACTGACGAAATATGAAAATATAGATATAAAAGTATACATAGAATAGTAGGATGATCAGAATTAACACTTACCTTGTTTCATAGGTGGTCACGATGACTGTCTGGTTTCGGTCTTCTCAAAATGACATGCATCTTAACGCAACAATGGCTAATGACTGTGTGTGAACATTACTTACGTGGTCAGTCCAATTTCTATTATAACTTCCCCTTGCATAGCGGAATGAAATATGAATCACATAAAATACAGAAATACCCACTTACCATCCTAAGATGCTTGGTGACAGAGTACTGTGATGTTGTTTGTTTGTAGGGTGGAGAAGGACATGGGACATGAGAGGGACTTCCTCACAGTGGGGTCTATGGGACACGCCTCTGCCATAGCTCTAGGAATAGCCCAGCAGAAACCGAACAGACAGGTACTTGTTAAGTCAGTCTCAGAAAATCTTCTCCCCACCCTCATAATTATCAACATTGAAGATTTGGAGAATCTTTATTAGGAAAACTGTCTAGCACCATCAATATTCCACACAAAAGACAACATTATACAGGTACTGATGTTAATATTATACAGGTACTGATGTTTACATTATACAGCTACTGATGTTAATATTATACAGGTACTGATGTTAATATTATACAGGTACTGATGTTAACATTATACAGGTACTGATGTTAATGTGTAGTACTGATGTTAACATTATACAGGTACTGATGTTAACATTATACAGGTGCTGATGTTAACATTATACAGGTACTGATATTCTACATAAATGTACAGGTATTGAGTTCATAAAGAACTATTTATACACTTAGAATTCATTCAATATTGCCTCATAAGTCCATTAAATTGATTATAATCTTTTTGCCCAACTTTTTTGTAGGAGCTTATTATGTAGAACACACTGGCTCATGTTAAACTACCAACTAGATTATTGTATGCTGTGAAAGTTTTAATTCTCCTGAATCAAACATTGCTTTGTAGGCATATTTTTCTGAACCTTGTTGTTTTTGGTCAAAGGTGTTTTGTTTAGACGGTGACGGGGCAGCACTGATGCATATGGGTACCATGGGAACAATAGGACAGAGCGAACAGACGAACTTCAAACACATCATCTTTAATAACGGTGCTCACGACTCTGTGGGGGGTCAACCCACAGTCGCCGCTCATCACAGCTCCTTCTGCTTCTCCACGATAGCCAAGGGCTGCGGCTATAGGGAGGTGTGTATATTGTGCTAGTCGCTACTCCACGATAGCCAAGGGCTGCGGCTATAGGGAGGTGGGTATATGGTGCTACTCCACGATAGCCAAGGGCTGCGGCTATAGGGAGGTGTGTATATTGTGCTAGTCGCTACTCCACGATAGCCAAGGGCTGCGGCTATAGGGAGGTGTGTATATGGTGCTAGTCGCTACTCCACGATAGCCAAGGGCTGCGGCTATAGGGAGGTGTGTATATGGTGCTAGTCGCTACTCCACGATAGCCAAGGGCTGCGGCTATAGGGAGGTGTGTATATGGTGCTAGTCGCTACTCCACGATAGCCAAGGGCTGCGGCTATAGGGAGGTGTGTATATGGTGCTAGTCGCTACTCCACGATAGCCAAGGGCTGCGGCTATAGGGAGGTGTGTATATGGTGCTAGTCGCTACTCCACGATAGCCAAGGGCTGCGGCTATAGGGAGGTGTGTATATGGTGCTAGTCGCTACTCCACGATAGCCAAGGGCTGCGGCTATAGGGAGGTGTGTATATGGTGCTAGTCGCTACTCCACGATAGCCAAGGGCTGCGGCTATAGGGAGGTGTGTATATGGTGCTAGTCGCTACTCCACGATAGCCAAGGGCTGCGGCTATAGGGAGGTGTGTATATGGTGCTAGTCGCTACTCCACGATAGCCAAGGGCTGCGGCTATAGGGAGGTGTGTATATGGTGCTAGTCGCTACTCCACGATAGCCAAGGGCTGCGGCTATAGGGAGGTGTGTATATGGTGCTAGTCGCTACTCCACGATAGCCAAGGGCTGCGGCTATAGGGAGGTGTGTATATGGTGCTAGTCGCTACTCCACGATAGCCAAGGGCTGCGGCTATAGGGAGGAGTGTATATGGTGCTAGTCGCTACTCCACGATAGCTAAGGGCTGCGGCTATAGGGAGGTGTGTATATGGTGCTACTCTACAATAGCGAAGGGCTGCGGCTATAGGGAGGTGTGTATATGGTGCTACTCCACAATAACCATGGGCTGCGGCTATAGGGAGGTTTGTATATGGTGCTAGTCGCTACTCCACGATTGCCAAGGGCTGCGGGTATAGGGAGGTTTGTCTATGGTGCAAGTCGCTACTCCACAATTGCCAAGGGCTGCGCCTATAGGGAGGTGTGTAGATGGTGCGACTCCACAATAACCAAGGGCTGCGGCTTTAGGGAGGATGGAATATGGTGCTAGGCGCTACTCCACGATAGCCAAGGACTGCGACTATAGGGAGGTGGGTATATTGTGATAGTCGCTACTCCACAATACCCAAGGGCTGCGGCTATCGGGAGGTTTGTATATTGTGCTAGGCGCTACTCCACAATAACGGCTATAGGGAGGTTGGTATATGGTGCTACTACACAATAACCATGGGCTGCGACTATAGGGAGGTGGGGATATGGTGGTACTCCAGGATAGCCCAGGTGTGTATATTGTGGTAGTCACTACTCCACAATAGCCAAGGGCTGGGGCTATAGGGAGGTGCGTATCTGGTGCTAGTCGCTCCTCCACAATAGCCAAGGGCTGCTGCTATAGGGAGGGGTGGATATTGTGATAGTCACTACTCCACAATAGCCAAGGCCTGCGGCTATAGGGATGTGTGTATATGGTGCAAGTCGCTACTCCACGATTGACAAGGGCTGCGGCTATAGGGTGGTGTGTATATGGTGCCACTCTACAATAGCGAAGGGGTGCGGCTATAGGGAGGTTTGTATACTACTCCACGATAGCCAAGGGCGGCGGCTATAGGGAGGTGTCTAGTCGCTACTCCACAATTGCCAAGGGCTGCAGCTATAGGGAGGTTTGTCTATGGTGCAAGTCGCTACTCCACGATCGCCAAGGGCTGCGGCTTTAGGGAGGATGGAATATGGTGCTAGTCGCTCCTCCACGATAGCCAAGAGCTGCGGCTATGGGGAGGAGTGTATATGGTGCTAGGCGCTACTCCACAATAGCGAAGGGCCGCGGCTATAGGGAGGAGTGTATAATGTGATAGTCACTACTCCACGATAGCCAAGGGCTGAGGCTATAGGGATTTGTGTATATGGTGCTAGTCGCTACTCCACATAGCCAAGGGCTGCGGCTATAGGGAGGTGGGTATATGGTGCTACTCCAGGATAGCCAAGGGCTGCGGCTATAGGGAGGTGTGTATATAGTGCTAGTCGCTACTCCAGGATAGGCAAGGGCTGCGGCTATAGGGAGGGGGGTATATGGTGCTAGTCGCTACTCCCCGATAGCCAAGGGCTGCGGCTATAGGGAGTTGGGTATATGGTGCTACTCCAGGATAGCCAAGGGCTGCGGCTATAGGGAGGAGGGTATATGGTGCTACTCCACGATAGCCAAGGTCTGCGGCTATAGGGAGGTGTGTATATGGTGCTAGTCGCTACTCCACGATAGCCAAGGGCTGCGGCTATAGGGTGGGGGGTATATGGTGCTACTCCACGATAGCCAAGGGCTGCAGCTATAGGGAGGTGTGTATATGGTGCTACTCCACAATAGCCAAGGGCTGCGGCTATGGGGAGGTGTGTATATGGTGCTAGTCAGACTGTTCACATTTCAGTTATCAATAATGAGAAGAGATGACCATGACATCATCCACTGGGATATCAGCATTTAATCCAGTGTTTACATGTTTCGGCCCACTAGGTGGGTCGTCATCAGAACCTAGTGGGCCGAAACATGTAAACACAGGATTAAATGCTGATATCCCAGTTGATGATGTCATGGTCATCTCTTCTCATTTATGATTCAGTACTTCTATGGTCGGACAAGTGAATTCTATTTAAAGAATCCATCAACTGGGAGCTGCTGACCTTTAGGGAAACTACCGCTGACTGGACGTTGGATCTCCACCCACCTGTACTTTAATTATTAGTAATACGTATTTCCTAACAAGCGCATTGTTTATTGTAATAATGTTCCCGATTCGTAGTATAAGGATGGTGGTTTCTAAATTGATAGTTACCATAAATACATAGTGGATGCCAGGGAAAAAGAATGGCTAGGGGGATGGGGGCACACCAAAGGACTTCTTGCCCCCTCCCGAAACACATATTTTATGGAAGAGCTCTAGATCTACCTGTCAAGTTAATAAGTCTGTCTCAATGTTTGTTCCCTTCCAGGCCTTGGTTGCCACTAATGAAGAGGAGGTAGCCGAGGGACTAAACCGTCTTCGGCAGACACATGGTCCGGTCCTCCTAGAAGTTAAAGTGGCTAAGGGAGGTCGCAAGAATCTTGGACGTCCAACCCGATCGCCCGTCCAGAACAAACAGGACTTCATGCACTTCCTTGCCATCAACTGAGAAAATTGCAATCTAGAATACTTTAAAGTTTGCTTGCAATTACATTTACTTTATTCTTACCAAGGAATAACTGTAGATAATGTGTTCTATGTGTAACATGGAGTCTCAGCTTACCTGTATTTTGTTTTGAGAAATCCATGCCTCAAGAACACTTATTTAGTGTTTGAAAATGTGGTCTATGAAGTCATTTTATCCGGTATACAATTTATACGAAATATTTCAGTCATGTTGCTTTGAAGTCAAGAAAGTTTCAAAATATCCATTTGGACTCGTTTCAATTTTTTTCAAAATTAAGGAAAAGGTTTTCTGATTTTTTTTAGCATTCACATATCATCAATATTCTATAGAACAAGAAACTAGGAATCTCAACAAATGTTTTGCTGACAACAAGGAATCTCCACAAATTTTATGTTTTATGTTTTATATATGTTTATATATGTTGATGTATTACATATTCTTCCATTACAAAAGAACAAATCCAAATTTTTGTTCCCATGGGCTATTTTACATTTTATTTTACATAGAAATTCCTGTTAATAGATATCATAAAGTTGTTTTCATGTTCAACGGTGAAATCAGTATTCAGTTTTAAGGTAATAGGATTGTGTCGCCATTTCTCAGTATAATTTTATTTTTATTTTATTTTGGTTATATTGCTTTGAATTAAAGAAAATTTTCTGCCACAAAAAAATAAAGGTTGTCATAATTGGAATTAAAATGGAAATTTATGTAAAAAGGAGTGACTTTTGAAAAAAAAAAAAAAAGACAATGTTTTGCAAAATAATGTCAATAAAAATGATACTGCCATAGATTAGTATTGCATTAATATATATCAATTTAATAAATGCTTAAATGATGTCAAATAAATTATCTATTGACATTTTATAATAAAACCATATGCACATAGTAATTGCAGGTAAGAGTTATCTTTCTTGAAAAACTTCACAGTAGTGAAATAGGTAGCCGGTTTCCTGAAGTACAGAAAAATGGATACATGTGGCTCATTGATAAAAAAAACTAAATTAATGCCTGCATTGCTTTGAAATACTTTAATATTGAGAGAAATCACTGTTTTGTCAATAATAAACGTACAATATTCATCAGTTTAATATCAAACATTAGAATATGCGGAAATTGTGATACTGTCTCCCTACATTGGATTTTCAACTAGGGATGTACTTTCTACTTCCGTTTATCAATACACTCCTATGACCTTAAGTCTTTCCAAACTCTTAGAAAAGTGTGAAATTTTATCTACTTATTATAGGAATAAAAATTTGGTACAGAATTTACAGAACATGCACCCATATTCATGTTACAGAACCTGGGCTCAGTATTCATGTTACAGAACCTGGGCCAGTATTCATGTTACAGAACCTGGGAACCTGGGAACCTGGGCTCAGTATTCATGTTACAGAACCTGGGCTCAGTATTCATGTTGCAGAACCTGGGCCAGTATTCGTGTTACAGAACCTGGGCTCAGATTTCATGTTACAGAACCTGGCCAGTATTCATGTTACAGAATCTGGGCTCAGTATTCATGTTACAGAATCTGGGCTCAGTATTCATGTTGCAGACCCTGGGCCAGTATTCATGTTTCAGAAACTGGGCCAGTATTCATGTTTCAGAAACTGGGCCAGTATTCATGTTACATACCCTGGGCCAGTATTCATGTAACAGAACCCGGGCCAGTATTCATGTTACAAAACCTGGGCCAGTATTCATGATATAGAACCTGGGCCAGTATTCGTGTTACAGAACCTGGGCTCGTTTTTCATGTTACAGAACCTGGTCCAGTATTCATGTTACAGACCCTGGTCCAGTATTCATGTTACAGAATCTGGGCTCAGTATTCATGTTACAAAACCTGGGCACAGTTTTCATGTAACATAACCTGGTCCAGTATTCATGTTACAGATCCTGGGCCAGTATTCAAGTTATAGAACCTGGACCAGTATTCATGTTACAGATCCTGGGCCAGTATTCAAGTTATAGAACCTGGACCAGTATTCATGTTACAGAACCCGGGCTCAGTATTCATGTTACAAAACCTGGGCACAGTTTTCATGTAACATAACCTGGTCCAGTATTCATGTTACAGACCCTGGTCCAGTATTCATGTTACAGATCCTGGGCCAGTATTCAAGTTATAGAACCTGGACCAGTATTCATGTTACAGAAACTGCGCCAGTATTCATGTTACAGACCCTGGTCCAGTATTCATGTTACAGACCCTGGTCCAGTATTCATGTTACAGAACTTGGGCCAGTATTCATGTTATAGAACCTGGGCCAGTATTCGTGTTACAGAACCTGGGCCAGGATTCATGTTACAGAACCTGGGCCAGTATTCATGTTACAGAACCTGGGCCAGTATTCATGAAATGGTTTTCATGCTCAAGCTCTCGTTCTTGCTCCAGTGATAAATTGGAAAAAAAATCATATCGCATCCTGTCAATGATTTGGAAGACATCTACAGAAACTGACAACCAGATGATGTTCTAAATGTTTACACTTGAGATTTTCTTGTGTCACATTATTTAATTGGGTTGCAACTAAAAAAGTCACACTATGGAGTTTGAGCACAGAATCAAAGCTTGAGCATGAGAATAGTTTTATGAATACAGGACCAGGTTATGTTGTCGAGGAAGAATAAGTTGACATTGCAGTTTATCTGTTGTAGTAGACATTGCAGTTTATCTGTTGTAGTAGACATTGCAGTTTATCTGTTGTAGTCGAAATTGCAGTTTATCTGTTGTAGTTTTGTGTTGTTGAGGAACAATAAGTTGACATTGCAGTTTATCTGTTGTGGTTTTGTGTTGTTGAGGAACAATAAATTGACATTGCAGTTTATCTGTTGTGGTTTTGTGTTGTTTAGGAGGTATACCGTATTGTAGTTTATCTGTTGTAGTTTATCTGTTAGTTTATCTGTTGTAGTTTATCTGTTGTAGTTTTGCATTGTTGAGGAGGTATACAATATTGCAGCAGTACCTTATAATTAGTTGTGTATTGGTGTTACATGTATTAAGTGTTCATAAAATAGAGGGAAATAAAATACTAAGCAATATTTCTTCATTATTGTACATTTCATTAAACATAAAAAAAAAAACATTAAGATTTTTTCTTTTATTAATTGCACAATCCTTATTTTTGAGTTCACCGAGTGGTGGTTCTAACATTGTGATATTTTTTCTAAGTGGGGCTTGATTGGTATTACATGTAACGGTCTGCCTGGGCGATATATTATAGAGGGGTCTCCGATGTGTTTAATGCTCCTTGGCAATTGTAACCCCATTTCTGATAGAATTGGATTATAGATTAATTTGTTATTTTTTGGAACATTGTTTTTACATGACATGTATGAATAGCAATGTTTTATAAGTTTGTATGTTAATGCACATGTGTATTTTACTCCCTATATTACAATATGTTTAGCTGCTCTCTGCTTCTAAACACGATAATATGTACTATTGTTTATGCGAGACTGCTTAGTGCTATGTTATACCACATACCGTTAATACTATCAATACACTATAGTAGCATCATTACCCTATATAACTAGTTCTAATATCTCATTAATATATATATGTATACATTCTACTCAAAACTCACTCAACCAAAGAAAGTGTCCAAAGTTTTCCAAAGATTAAATAATTTTAAACAAGAGTGGTGACAGCTCTTAAGCTCCAGATATGCTATGCTGTTTATATATGTATCATTTATGGTAATTGTCCTGGAATGGCAACATCATGTTTACAATTGTTAAAGCATCCCTGTTTCATCATTTTCTGTTTAATTACACTGTAAACTCTTGATAAGTAACACTTTTAAAAAGTTTCATTGAGTGTCAGTAAAATTGTTTAAAAAAATCATTGAGTGTCAGTAAAATCTTAATTGATTAATGTTCCTTCTTTTATTTGCTTTATAATTTTTGCCACATTTTTTTCAGATTTCTTTTCTGTATCACTTTTAAAGATCCCTGTCCCTCTGAAGCCAAAACACAGGAGAATTAATAAGGACCTGTTTTTTATGCGGACAAACCAGTTAGTGTAAATTTCAAATATTTTATTTCAAGGGTAAAACCTGATGGGCCTGAAATTGTTAATGCAAGCGTAAGCTTTGGAAGTATTTCTCAAGCCCCTCCCCTCTATTTCATTGATCTAGCATGACTAGACTAGACTTCTACCCTTGAACAGGTAGAGTTACCTCCCCTTTATTTCATTGATCTAACATGACTAGACTAAGACTTCTACCCTTGAACAGGTAGAGTTACCTCCCCTTTATTTCATTGATCTAGCATGACTAGACTAGACTTCTACCCTTGACCAGGTAGCTTGGATGGTTAGAGCAACAGTTTAGCAATCGGAGGTCCAGGATATTAATCTTGGATGCTGAATGCTGACAAACTGATTCCAATGCCCAGTTACAGTTTTTGGCAGTGGTATTGGCCGGGATCCCAAGTTTATCTCGGTATTAAACATATTACACAACCCCTTTATGATAGTTTTTGGAAGAAATTATGATAACATCTTTAAAAGGATATCTCAATAGATCCCCATCCCACTGTCTACTAAACAATGACAATATATTTAATATTTTGAGGTACCAGTGGATGTATAGCTAACACTGTAACACCAGTATTGTGCAGAATTTACATTAGGAATATATGGAGAAGTCTTTCTCCATACTGTCTCCCAAGAAAGTTTTGCTGCAGTTAAATTTTCGCCTCTTGCCTTTGATATTTTATTTAATATTAATTATAAACAATATAAACAGTAACTCAATGTGAAGAGAGAAATTAACACTGGGCGGGTATGGATTTTACTGGCAAGGGTGAAAGTTTGACTGAACACAAATGTCCGTTTACAGTAGTGGTTGTATAACCAAAGGCTTTACCATGCCAGTATCATGGAAATATATCCGATTTAATGTTAATAGTATTTTATTGTACAGTATTTCTACCAGTGTGATTATTACTACAACAGTGAATTCCTCCTTTAACAGAGGACTGGAGGTGGAATTCAGGGACGAAGGAGGGTCATTTTATTTCAATATCACAATATTGTTGTCTTGAATTTATACATCCTTAATCAGTGCATAATTTGCTCAATTAAAAAAAAATGTTTAGGAAGGCAACCCAGGTCTAACAAAAATCACAGATTTAATATGATTTGGTCCAGATTTTTATGTTTATTTCATTATTGCTTTGTCTGTTTCATATGACTGCATTGACTGTATGGTGGGCTGCTGTATGAACATTATATTTTTCTATGCATTTTATCATATCCAACTGTTTTTCAATGTTTTTTTACATTAAACAACTTTATTTGTATTAAGATAGATTCTTGTGTTTTTATTTGAACATATTTATACCCTTGTGACATAAGGGTGATGTAGGAATCTGTCGGTATTTTTGTGTCAGTCCTCTGCAGACTTTATTCGTTATCCGATGTCATGAAACTTCCTGGAAATGTTTACAAAACATCACTTTGGTTTGTTAAAATCCTAAACTACAGAATGTAGCTGTTTGAAGCTTGGTGACTTAATGCTTCTTCATTTATGCAAGCATCCATCCACAATTTAACAACAAATGCTTTATAATAGATATTACAAGTGGTTAGCTTTACAATTATTCAGAATTTATTTTATTCAAACAATACCACCATATCTTGGATATTATAAAATAAAATTTGGGTCTAGATTTGTAAACATAGTTGTGAGATTACTGCTAGCTACTGGGAGACCTGTCAAATTATCACCTCAAACCAATCCTACATTCCCGACTCATTGTTTGTAAAACAATGATGATCAACAATGTCATAAAATGATTGCGGAAAGAAGACAACTTGTGGTCATTGTCTGTCTTTGGTATATATCTTATGACATGACAAGCAAGTTCATTAAGGAACCTCTGTTGTTTCAAAACCTTTTTTCTGTAAATGAATTTACAGTGGATTTTTGAATTGTTAATGGTGTGTTTTAAAATCAGTAATTTCCATGCAGAGATAATCCTGGAGGGGGCAATGGGGCCATTGACCCCTCAAAAATTAAATTAATCTCTCCATATTCCAATTTTCTTTTAATTTTACATAGAATGCCCCCCTTAATTTTAATAATAACTAAAAATTATTGAAAATCACCCACTGCTCTCAATTTCCAGGATTTTCCCTGCCATGTTCAGATTGGTTTCTCTGATTATGGTAATGTTTTCTGTGACATACATACAGTTGAGGTGTTTTATGTCTTCTCCCGATTCTGATGATCTGATTGAATAACCTGTGAAGTCCTCGTTGAAAGCCACATAAAAACATATCTTTGTGTGGCACAAATAAGGATATATTTATTGTACAACACAAGAAGTCCATGGTTAATCTTTTTATATAAAACTTCAATAAATATACAAAATGCACTATAGTATGTTAACAGCTATCACATGAGGTAAGTTAACACCTCTTTTATATAAAATTAGGCTTCACAGCTCAGGATCACAATTCTACTTCGTTGCCACTCAGTTTCTGTACATTGGAACACTTTCAAACTTCTATATGTAGGCACTGGTGGTAGTTGTCGGTATTTCTGAGGTTTGTTTAATCTCTTTTAGTCGTCAGTGTTTCTGAAGTCTGTTCAAACTCTTTTAGTTGTCAGTGTATCTGAAGTTTGTTTAAACTCTTTTAGTTGTCAGTGTTTCTGAAGTCTGTTCAAACTCTTTTAGTTGTCAGTGTTTCTGAAGTCTGTTCAAACTCTTTTAGTTGTCAGTGTATCTGAAGTCTGTTCAATCTCTTTTAGTTGTCAGTGTATCTGAAGTATGTCCAATCTCTTTAAGTCGTCAGTGTTTCTGTAGCCTGTTCAATCTCTTTAAGTGGTCAGTGTTTCTGTAGCCTGTTCAATCTCTTTAAAAGCCCAACTAGCTAACCAGTTTTCTATAGGCACTATACAAAGTACCACCACTAGTACCTGTTCCTCAAGTCTCTCTGAACAAAGTTTACAGAATGAACAAAGTTTACAGATTGAACAAAGCTATGCACGACTTGAAGCCAACTGCATGGAATTTCCACCGAGAATGTTATCATCAGATTTGCGTAGATTATCGTAAAGTCGGTCTGTGTTGGGGTTGATGGCGATGATGAACCAACCAATGATGGCCAGTACACATCTGGCTGTGTTCAAACTCGTCCATAAATCCAAGTCTGACGTAGATTCCTGGAGGATAAATCAATCTAATATTTACGATGTATAGACCACAGTAATACATATAAATTAATAACACACTCGGACATTTCTGTATGCTTTTGTCTACATTTTTCTGTAGTACATTTTATATTTCATTCTAAATATCTTCTTATTCTGTTCCTTGAGACTTAATAAAACTGATAAATATATATATATATATAATATATTCTATTACAATTTAATGGCAAAATTTACATTCCAAAAAATAGATTTGTCAAAAGGTCAAACCATCAAGCAACAATATCTTATTTTTCAATGACAGATGCTATATCACTATGAATTTGCATTTCAGGATAAAACAGAAACAAAATATGAACCTTGTGATCATTGACAGAAGAATTATATTAATATGTACATGTATTACAAACAATGATCACAAGTTTGATATTTTGTTTCTGTTGTATCCTGAAATGCAAATTCATAGTGATATAGCATCTGTCATTAAAAAATAAGATATTGTTAATTTCAATCTTTAACCTATGATGTTGATCGACTCAATTATACTTGGGAATGCACTTTGACAGAAGAATTATATAAATATGTACATGTATTACAAACAAAGTGCATTCCCAAGTATAATTGAGTCGATCAACATCATAGGTTAAAGATTGAAATTAACTCCCTCAAGATGGATATATATTATAGTGAGCACTCACTGGATCTCCTCTGTATAAATCTGACACAACTAAATCTTCCTACATCATATGATACTTTTCTTTTGCAACTCCATTCATTTTACTGCGCTAAAAGAAGTAACAGCCTGCCAGGGAGCATGGGGAATATATTGTCATATTATACCGTACCCCTGGATTGTCCCACAGGCCAGACAACGTGGTGTTGGTGGTGTAGAGATTCATCTTGTCCTCCAGATTGGCAGTACACAGACTTATCACCAAGGCTGCAAAGTAGATCAGTACTGAAATGGTTCCTGTCTGTAGTGTAAGCGACTCGAGCATAAACCTTCTGTTAGGATTACCGACGTCAAACCTGAAACACGAGATCATATCATCAACAAAAATCCTCAGAGGCAAATATGTATGATACATTGTATGTATCAAAGGGGTCGCAACATTTCAGCACTATTAAACTGGTCCCTTTATCAAGTGATATAGTGCAGAGACCAGCTGTTTATACACTAACTGTTCCCGTTATCAAGCTATGACTATGATATAGTACAGAGACCAGGTGTTTATACACTAACTGGTCCCGTTATCAAGCTATGACTATGATATAGTACAGAGGCCAGGTGTTTATACACTAACTGGTCCCTTTATCAAGTGATATAGTACAGAGACCAGCTGTTTATACACTAACTGGTCACTTTATCAAGCTATGACTATGATATAGTACAGAGACCAGGTGTTTATACACTAACTGGTCCCGTTATCAAGCTATGACTATGATATAGTACAGAGACCAGCTGTTTATACACTATCTGGTCCCTTTATCAAGCTATGACTATGATATACATGTATTACAGAGACCAGGTGTTTATACACTTACTGTTCCCTTTATCAAGCTATGACTATGATATACATGTAGTACAGAGACCAGGTGTTTATACACTTACTGTTCCCTTTATCAAGCTATAACTATGATATAGTACAGAGACCAGGTGTTTATACACTAACTGGTCCCTTTATCAAGCTATGACTATGATATAGTACAGAGACCAGCTATGATATAGTACAGAGACTAACTGTTCCCATTATCAAGCTAATACTATGATATAGTACAGAGACCAGCTGTTTATACACTAACTGGTCCCGTTATCAAGCTTTGACTATGATATAGTGCAGAGAACAGCTGTTTATACACTAACTGTTCCCTTTATCAAGCTATAACTATGATATAGTACAGATACCAGCTGTTTATACCCTAACTAGTCCCTTTATCAAGCTATTACTATGATATACATGTAGTACAGAGACCAGCTATGATATAGCACAGAGACTAACTGTTCCCATTATCAAGCTAATACTATGATATAGTACAGATACCAGCTGTTTATACACTAACTGGTCCCTTTATCAAGCTATGACGATGATATAGTACAGAGATCAGCTGTTTATACACTAACTGGTCCCTTTATCAAGCTATGACTATGATATAGTACAGAGACCAGCTGTTTATACACTAACTGGTCCCTTTATCAAGCTATTACTATGATATAGTACAGAGACCAGCTGTTTATACACTAACTGGTCCCTTTATCAAGTTATTTTTCATTTTTATCACTGTACAGGATCATGGGGACATTGACCCTTCAAAACTGAAATTGACCCTTCCATGTTCCAATTTTCTTTTAATTTGACATATAATGGCCCCACTTAATTTTCAAATTGACGATAAAATTGCTGAAACGACCCGCTGCTCTCAAATTCCAGGTTTTCCCTGGTACTACATGTTAAATATACACAGTAATGGATTAAAATAGCTCAAACTTAATTGGTGAAGCATTCTTGTCACACCTGTATCTTTCTTACCTGTCACATGCTGACACCGTACACAGCACCAGTAGAATATAAAACATGCACTGCACTGGAAGAGCCAGGATTCGATAATGTTCCAAAAAGTCTATATAGTTGAAGAAGAGAAGGATGTAGGACATGGTGATGTGCCAAACAGAAATACCTGCTGTTATCCCATGGACAAACAACAGAAATGTCTTCAATGCATTGTGGGTACTGAGGGCCAGCTCAATGGTTGTACGTTTGACCTGTGGTGTTGTGTCGGCTTTATTTGCTTCAGCCTCTGCCCACTTCCTGACCAGCTTGGCCTTGTTCTGCCCTTTAAATCCAGCTGCAGAATACAATATTGTTTAACAGGACATGCCAACTCAATCTTCATTACAGACTTTGTTTTTGACTTCATGGTAATTTTGTTTATTCAAAAATGTTAAATTTAAAAAATATGCACTTTGTGTGGCAATATCAGCATACACACCATCCGACGTAGGTCTGTTTTTTAAATATTACATTACCCTAGTTCTAATCTTTTATGTTTTATGGAACAGTGATATATTCAGAAAAATGTAATAATCTCAATGATAATAATATTTATTGTTTCTATATATTCTTCTCATTTAACACAATGTTTTTTTATAATTCTAAGTTCACTTGCTCATAAAAGATTTTGTATTTTTGGAGGAGTAATTGCCTTTAATTAACTTGTGTGTGTGTATATTACACACTTGCTGTGTATATATCATTAATTTAGGAGAAGAATCTGGATTTTTCATCCAAATTATTTTGGCTTTCGTAATCAACATGAATTCATTGCATAGAACATCTTTAAATTTGGCGTTTTGTACCATTAGTTTGTAATAAAATTGTACTTTTATTACTTTTTCAGATTTTGCCATGCATACCGTTTACTTTTTGTACTGTTTACTTGATTTATAACCTATTATTTTCAATATATGCAGTAAAATAACCGATAAATCGCCAGCTTTCTCTCTCAGCATAGAACTACCAGTATATTGCTACATGTAAAAATATTGTAGATTGAAATCATGCGTAACATACCTTTCATCTTATACCAGTGATTCTACTTATATGTACAGGCATTACAGTAACTTACAATCTGTCTCTATGAAAAGCTTATCCAGGGGCTGACTCTTCAGAATGTTTGATTCAGTGGAGTAGGGATGTCGCTCTGCTTCCTCCTCTTCCTCCTCCTCCTCATCTCCCTGCTTTGCTGTGTCTGCAGCTTTCTCACGAGGGGAGACGATGTCCTCCTGGATTGTAGTCAGGTCAGCTGCCAGCGTGGAGTCTAGGAATTCATCCTCTTGTTTTCTTGGGGTGGTTTTCTTTACCTTCTTCTTCACTTTCTTTTTAGGTGTGCCTGTCTGTTCCTTAGATATAAGACTGGTTTTACTTCCAGCAACATCCTGTTAAGAAATCAGCAAATGATCAAGTTCATTTCTTCCCAGTCCAGCATTAATGTATGGTAACATTCAGTACATCAAAATTATTATTCTTATAATGTCTATGCATGTATGTAATCTTCAAAGAATTTTTTGAGAAAAACATATGTGCATTATGTTGTGTGACAAAAAAAACACTGACACTTTATTAAAACAGACTTAATTATTTTACGTTTTGGACCAGAGATGTGTAAAATGGAATTGCTTTATTAGTAATAATATATAAATCCGCCAAATTAAAGAAATTATATTACAAACATGAGTTTTAGAAAACATTAGGGTAATTATATTTGAGAGATAATTTTTACCATTTAATTATCAAGCATAGTATTGGAATTTGGATCAATTGGATGCTCAAACTGAACAAAAAAAATAAAAAAAATGGAAAAAATGCTCTATGCACCTGTAAATGTACTAGATGACAAAAAGATCAACTGACAGCTAACACATATATCACATTCCGATTAAAATAAAACCAGTACATTATCAAACGCAGGGAAATTGTGATCTGAATCCGGAAATGGCTTTAAACTTATAGTTTATAAACATGTCCGAACAAAGATCTAAAACTGCCAATAACTATTTTGTATGCCAAAATAACATCCTTGTTTACCTCTCCCTGACTTCGTGCAGACGTAGGTTCTCCTTCTTCACCTTCTTTCTTCGCCACGGGTTTCTTTTTCTTCTTCCGAGGTGTAGGTTTAGCAGATGCGGTCTCGCCATTTTCTTCTTTACCAGTTTCTGGTTTGGCAGCTGGTTTCTTTTTCTTTCTAGGCGTTCCTTCTGGGCTTTTAGGAGTAGTCCCATTGGCTGTTTCCTCAGTTGGCTTCTTTTTCTTCTTTTTAACAACCTTCTTGACTTCCGATCCTTCCTCTGTTTCACCTGTAAGAGGTGGCAGTTTCTTTACTGTCCGCTTTGGTTTCTTTGGCGGGTCTGTGTCAGCCATTGTTGTCAATGTAAATATTTTCAAGCGTGTAAGCGACTTAGTTTTTCAAGTGCATTCGATACGAATTACGGGGCCGCTGATCTAAACGAGTGGCGTCAGACAGCTGCGCTGTCTCTCACTGGGACCGGGGCTGGTGGGACCGTCAAGATAGGCTAACTCGTCCGGACTTGGAGCATGATATAACAGTTGGATATACGGTCCTCATCTGGGACATTCTTATCAGGAAATAACGCAGATATTTTTCTTTTATACATTTATAAACTAAAGGAAGATTATGTTTGTGTATATCAGAGATTATACGTCTCTGTGTATATCAAGGGCGGGTCCAGGTGAGGGCGTAATGGCCCTTTTCAAAAAGAAAAGAAAAATCGTAATCTGCTAATATTGTATTGAATAAACACATAAACACCCTGACACTTTAACTATAAAATATACATGCTCCAAGTCAGGAACCGTTACATTAGTGCATTTCACAATTATTTTTTGTTTTTTAGCAAAAAAAGGTCCATTTTTTTTCGCCTCGTTCCGCTCGCCGGAAGATTTGATTTTACGCCCCCTCTTTCAAATATCCTAGAAACGCCCCTGTATATGATCATTTAAATGGTTGTATTAATTGAGGAAAAAGAACACGACTTATAAGAATGGTTACCGTATAGTTTATAACTTAAGCTGTTAGCGTTCACGGTCCTGAGCAGGGGCATCCTGATCAGGAAATCGAGTACTAATTATATCCGTATTGATGGATCAAATCCATGATGGTGGCAGTGTTTACAGTCAAGAGCGAAATAAAGATGGTTTAGAAATACAAATTAAACTATTTATAGTATTTTATCTTTGTATTCCACGTTATAGTGTATACGTCCTGTGCAGGGACATCCTGATCAGACAGGATATGTTATAGTGAATCTATCCGTAGTTATTTATAAAATATATAAAGGCAGCAAAGTTTGCAGTCAAGAGAGGTGATTTTAAAATAGAAAAAAAAACATCAAATGAATCTTTAATCTCTTTAATTATATGTTGATATTGGAACGTATCCGGTAACAGGGACATCCATATCAATGTATCAAGTACTCATTATATCCGTATTAATGGATCAAATACATAAAGGTGACAGTTATTACAGTCAAGAGATGAGTAAATATGATTGAGTAATAGAAATTAAACTATGTCTATAATATTTCATCTTCGAGTTGCATACTAGTATAAGATCCTAAGCAGGAACTTAAAAATGGAAATCAAAAAGCTAGCAATGCGAACGGTCAAGAGAAGCATCATAATGATTTTTTTAATGAGTCGTTTTAATTTAGAAATAGAACCCCGACTTACAAAAATGGTTATATGCAGTATAATCTATAACTATAGCTAGTAGCGTATACAGTCCTGACCGAGGCCATCCTGATCAGTAAATCAAATGGAAAAAATGTATGTGGTCATTTATCGACTACACAAAGTAAGCGATACGAATGGTCAAGATTAGCGTCACATGTAAGCATTTTTAAATAGGAAAGGACTTTACATCAACAATGAAATACTTAAAACACACTTCTCATAACGAACACGGTCCTCGTCGGGGACATCATGATCAGGCAAAAAGTCAACTTTTCCAATATATAGAGATATAAACATTTTACATAGATATACATGATCAAAGGGAGGTAACTGTTATATTCCAACTCCGCATTATGAGTTCTGCTACACTTTTTGTATTAAAAACAACGATCATAATCCCTTTGTCTTGATAATTTGATGCTGATACTTTCCCATGCTAAACATTAGTCACATATTGATGCAAATCATTGCAGCTTTTTGCTAAAATAAGTGTATGAAAACGCCACAATATGCAACGGTCCTGGTCAGCGACGGTCCCAGTCAGCCCCAATTCCAGTGAGGGCAGCTCAGCTGTTAGAAACTGTTGATCCAAACGGTTGAACTGATTAGACCACGATTGTTCGTTTATGTAACAATGTCGGACCTAGTAATCTGATACTATTTTCAGGTGAGCCCTGATAAAGCCTTACAAGGCCTGCATAAATCCTGCCGTCCTGCAAATGTTTATACTCAAAAGATTTTACATTTAAAAACAGACATACCGGTTGTACAGCATAAGCGAACAGGCCCCGGGGCTTGTTCGCTTAGGCATACAAACCGGTTCTTCAAAGTATAATTTGAAATATAAAACCTGACGGACCTGTACAAGCTAATATGTGTTTTCGTTTTTCAAATGCCCATTAGATTTTTTTTTTAGATCACTTGGTTCGCCCCTCTTTCAAAAGCGAACTTTGCTGATTAAACCGTTCGGACCGCGATAAAGGATGTTTCAGTGGCCATAATGATACTCGAATGATAAAATTACGTTATATTATTAAAGTGTTACAGAAAATGAAAGAGATTTTCTTGATGTCACTATGCAGACATTATCCCAACGTATAACTCATTATCACAAAGGATATCTGACATATCTTTTGTTTGGACATAAAGTGATATTTGTCTCGAAATATATAAATATATAAATAAATATATAAATAAATATATCGCCTTGCTATGCTTGGTATATAATTCAATTTTGCTCTGTTGTATTCGGACTAATAAAAAATGCTTACCGTTAAAAAGAATGTTAAAATGACACATGCAAATCACTTCCAAACGTATCCCCCTCCCTTAAACAATACGTACCCGAATCCGTACCTAACATGAACAGCTCGAATCAACGTACATATACTGCACTTTTCAATTGAATAATAAAGTACTATTCTTCTGGACGGCATGATTTTGCGCCTATAATTTCAAAATGTATTAAAAAAAGCCCCCAAAAAACAAGAGGCCCATGGGCCTTAACGGTCACCCGAGTTCTGATATATTTATACAGAGAGTTGATTTTTGTTTTTAAAACATGAACAGAAGTATTATTCAAAGTGATAAAAAAACAATAAAACAACCTTATTCAATATCTAGCATACAGATTTAAGACTGAAAAGTATTTGAAACTAGCACCTCTGATTCTAAACAAGGAAAATGAAGACATTTTAGCACACTGACTCCTTTGGGTGCCCTTGGGGTAGAGCTGGCTCAAAATTTTCAAAGTATCAAACTGTGTACTCAGGGTTATAATTCCAATCAAGTTATCAACATGTAATATTCATAGTATCATTTGCCATAATACATTTTGCCCCCGCCTCCCCAGGGGTAAACGTGAGACCCTAGGGTCATAAAATTCACAATTTTGGTAGAGCACCTTAAAACCCTTCCATCTATGAAGAGTATTTGGTTCTACCATATCTGGGTCTTGAGAAGAAGATTTTGAAATTTCAGTCAATTTGACCCTTTTTGGCCCGCCCATCAGCCCCAGGGAGTCAGTCAAGGCTGATATGTGCATACCATAAAACTGCTATCCAATACTGATAATGCTAACCCAAATTGAGTTACTTCCAATGGAAATTAATCAAATGCTGGTCCAAAATGTGATTTCCCTATATAAACTATAGTAAAGTTTACCCCCGATCCCCAGGGGGAAACGTGAGACCCCAGTGTCACGAAATTCACAATTTTGGTTAAGCACCTTTTGACCCTTCCATTTATGAAGAGTAATTGATTCTGCCATATCTGGGTCTTGAGAAGAAGAATTTTGAAATTTCAGTCGGTGGTTGAAGCCTTACTCCAGCGAAGATGGCTGTAGAAGGACGAGGTTGTTGATTCACTCTTCAGTTTTGATGAATATGGTAAACTGAATAGTTTATTATTAACGGGATCTGAACAGTTCAACAGTTATATTAACCTACATCGTTTGCTTTAAACCACAGGTACTGGTAAAATATTCCAGGGACCAAAACCATAGCTTAAATATATATATCCAAAATAACAAGTACTTGATTATTATTTTTCTTTTTCGTTGTCTTTTACCTTTTAGTGGCTTGTCTGGAGTGAACGTTTCCGTTCCAATCGCGCAGCCAATTTTTTATGCCAAGGTTTTAATCACGGCCAAAATAAACGCTAGTCAGGCTCCCTGCTGCGAATACTCCGACGAGTCGGCGCAGACTCTAACCAGACTAAATAACCTTTTGCAAAGTCGGTTAAAATCGTTTTGGGATATCCCCTCGCGCTATTAGACTCATTGCTGTGCAGACTGAATGCTTGGTTTAATTTCGATTGGTAAACAATCCATTTTCTACAAAATTTGAAGTTGTTTTTAAGATAGTAGCCTCCCTAATCCAGGGTCCCTTTCGTCTATCCGGGCCACACTGTTCAATCAGTTCATTTATACATAAAAGACGGCAAACGAAAGAAGCCGAGAGGGCATATATCCGACGATTTCTTATGCATTAACGGATTTCACGCAATACGCATAAAATACGGAGAATCATTCGAGCTCCCGTCGAAAGATTAGCCGTGTTTTCCAAAAACTATACGCGTAAGGTACAGATCGAGTTCAGACTTTGAGATAGACCTACATGGTAACCCTCATTTTTTCATATTTCTGTATAACTTCTAGGGATGCTCTGTAATACATGTATAAATAGTTTTCGGCTCGAAATCAGTCCAAGTCCAAACACCAGCGCTTTGTTCTTAACTAGTAGTTAGCCAGTCCAAGTCCAAACACCAGCGCTTTGTTCTTAACTAGTGGTTAGCCAGTCCAAGTCCAAACACCAGCGCTTTGTTCTTAACTAATGGTTAGCCAGTCCAAGTCCAAACACCAGCGCTTTGTTCTTAACTAGTGGTTAGCCAGTCCAAGTCCAAACACCAGCGCTTTGTTCTTAACTAGTGGTTAGCCAGTCCAAGTCCAAACACCAGCGCTTTGTTCTTAACTAGTGGTTAGCCAGTCCAAGTCCAAACACCAGCGCTTTGTTCTTAACTAGTGGTTAGCCAGTCCAAGTCCAAACACCAGCGCTTTGTTCTTAACTAGTGGTTAGCCAGTCCAAGTCCAAACACCAGCGTTTTGTTCTTAACTAGTGGTTAGTCAGTCCAAGTCCAAACACCAGCGCTTTGTTCTTAACTAGTGGTTAGCCAGCGCAAGTCCAAACACCAGTGCTTTGTTCTTAACTAGTG